TCTTCTGTGCCCGAGGCCTCCGCCCCCGCAGCAGCCAGTTCGCGCTTTCTCTTGCTCGGCGGAGGTGCCGCATCCGCCATGTTGCCTGCCGGGAAGTGCGCCTGCGCAGACCCCAGATGCGCCCCGCCCACCTGCGTCACAGGCCGCAACTACAACTCCCTCCGTGCTCTGGCGTTGACGGCTCTCCTACCCCGTGACTTGTCCGGATGGACGTTTTTCACCCAAGGTGCTGCCCCGGTCGCCTAGCGGGGGCCCACCGGAGTTGAGGCAGGCGCTGAGAGAGGAGAAAAAGAGAACGAGCACCTAAACGGGTGGGCTAGCGGTGCTGCGCGGGAGAGGGCTGCCCAGCCGCCCGCGTCGGGAGCTGAAGGCTTTGACACCTTATTCGGATACCGACATTGTAACAAAAATTATACCAACACTGATTAGTTAACGTGGAAGGACTGCTTCTGAAACTAATCTGTTGAGCTTATCCCATTTCTTAGTCGATTTTTATTTTTATAGAGAACACTTAAATCCTCTGCCTTACATCCATTTTACAGAATCTTCATTGCGTTCAGTTCTTTGTAGATTCAGTCCTTGCAGAATAGAAAGGTGAGTAAACACGGGCGGCACTACATTTCCGTCACTTGCCGCTCTTCTTGCGGGCTGGGGGCCTCTGCCTCCTCTGTACCTCTTTTGCCCGCGTGTCTGCTATGCGACTCCGAGGTGTGATTTGCAGCATGAATATGATTCGTCTATTAGATTTCTTCTTTTGGGGGGGGGGAGGGGAACATATAAACATTTTATTTATAGTTTCTGCTTTCTTTTGTACCCACTATTTCTGACCAGCCCCCTTTCCCTTGGTGTTATTTCACAGATCTAAATCTTGTCAAGAGTGGGTACAGCAAGTTTTGGTAAAAAATTCTAGTATTTTTGCCAACGTCGATTTTATTTTGAGTTTGTTTTTTCAGACAAAATAATGGTGGGTGCAATTTTCAGTCAGTAAATCATGAAGTGTACTATATGTCAACGCCAGTTGCTTTGGGGTTGATTATTTCTACCAGAAATATACTCATATATGATGAGTTGGATAAAAGGCTAATAGTTTTGTGAAGCAAAGAGCATAAGTAGGGAAAGCTTAGGATCTGGAGTAATTATCTTCAACCACAAACACTTGCTGTTTGTCCACAAGTTTCCTGGGTACACCCCTCACCTTCTGGAAATATACAGTAGGCTGTAAACTGTGTGCAACCCCAAAACAAAATGTCCCGGGGCAAAATGGCAACAGCAAAACCAGCTCAGAACCAGCAGGCCCTGCCCGGTCTTATGAAAACCTAAGTGTATATGCTCTTTCTCTTTTCCTTCCTTCCTTCCTCTTGTTTTTGTCCCCTTCCTCCATTTTTTCTTAAGTTTGCTTCCTTGCACCTGGAAAGAGAATTTGAGCAGAGTAGCTATGTTTTAACAAAAAGAGCTCTGAATTGGGAGCCATGGAGCCTGGCCCCAATGTTACCTAGCTGTGCAACGTCGGGGAAGTCCCTTACCCTCTCTAGGCCTCCATCCCTACTTGCCAGACACTCAGTTTGTCTTCAATAAGACAGAAGACATCTCTATGTTCATAGAATTCATATTCAAGTAGAGATGAAGTAAACATTATACTTTCAGGTAATGATTACTGTGTTATTTATAGAATAAACAGGGCAATGGGACAGAGCTGGGCATAGGGAGGACTTTAGACAAGGTGGTCATGGGCCTCTCTGAAGATAACACTGAGCTAAAACTTGAGTGATAAGGACACAGTCCTGGCTGGTGTGGTTCAGTGGAATGAGTGCTGGTCTGCAAGCAAAAGGGTTGTTGGTTTGATTCCCAGTCACCTGGGTTGCAGGCCAGGTCCCCAGTAGGGGGCGTGCAAGAGGCAACCACATGTTGCTGTTTCTTCCCATCTCTCTAAAAATAAATAACATCTTTAAAACAAATATCCATAAGGTCAGAATTCTAGTCTTAAGCCCTGGCTCAAGGGAAGGATGAGCTCACAGAAGCCTCAGCTATCAGAGGACCTACTAGAATACCAGCTGGCAGAGTGAAAGGGACCTTCACCAACACTAGGGATCACTGTTTGGCTTCAGAGGCCTTTGTCAGTTAATGTTTTCAGTTCAGCTCCTTGGGAAACATCAGAAGGCTCTGCACTACCCATCCAGTAGCCACTAGCCACGTGTAGCTATTTACATTTAACTTCATTAGGATTAAGTAAAACTAAAAATTCAGCTCCTCAGTCATGCAACCACGTTTCAAGTGCTTGAGAGACACATATGAATAGTGGCTACTACACTGAACAGCCCAGATGTGGACCATTTCCTGTCATCACAAGTTCAAATGGAGGGTGCGGTATTAGGAGGTTATTATTGGAAAACCCTAGGCTCTGTAAGCATCAACCCCCTTCAGTCTTCTTGAATCTCAAAACTTCTCCCAAATCTTTTTTTAAAGGATTAAACACTTCCACTTCAGGCATTATAACAAACTAGATATCCGAAAAACAGTTCAGCAAAAAACACCTGCAATTCCAGACGCACTATTAAAAACATCCTTTTGGTTACTTTACAGCTCTCACAAGAAAAAAATTTCTGAAATGAAAAATGTGGGAGCACGAATTTACGTAACGTTAGAAACTGAATATAGAAACTGAAGTTCTAAGAGTGATCACTGGTTTCGAAAAATCTAGAGCCTTGGCCTTTAAATGTGATGTTTCGGGTACAGGAAACAAGACCTGAGCTTGTGCCAGGTGAGGAACTGGAAGAGAGAAGTCCCCAGAGAGGTCTCTGAAGGGCCGCCACCTCAATACAAGGGCTAACTGTTTAAAAAATGAATAAAACAAAAGCTGCCCCACTAAAGGAGACAAGATATTTAGTAAACTTATCTGCCTCAACATCCGGCTCTGGAGTAAAGAGAAAAAATCGCCTGCCAAGGTATGACCACAGGCCCATCTTCACATAGGATTAGAATTTAGATTCATACTGTCTATGTGATCCAGGGAATTCAAACTGAAAAATCTGTTCAAGCTGCTCTTGTGTGCTTTATTGACTTCTTACTCCAGGCCACACTGACTCCAGAAGAAATAAATAGATCTATAACTCCTTAAGACATTGAAGTTTCAGTTTCAGTCTCCCAAAGAGAAAATGCTAGGCCAAATGGATTTACAGATGAGTCTACCAAACATTTAAGGAATGACTAATTCCAAGTTTAAACTCTTCCATCAGGAAAAAGGGACCACTCCCCAACTGTTTTATAAAGCTGGTACAACCTTGGTAACATGACCAGAGAGGGATAATGAGAGCAATACGAGCCAATCCCACACGTGAACACAGATGTAAAATCCTAATGAACACGCTGGCAATCCGAATCCTGCGGCTCATAACAAAGATATTAAAAACATCACGGTCAAGTTGAGTTCACCCCAGGAATGTAAGGCTGGCTTAACATTAGAAAACATTCCAATTTTATTCACTGCATCAGCTGATTAAAAGGGGGGAAAACACATCACCTCAGTAGATGTGGGAATTTTAGATTAAATTTAAAACCCATTCCAGAGAAGTAACTAGAAACAGCAGGATACTTACAACTTTTAAAAGATATGTACCAAACCAAAAACCTACAACAAATGTTACATTTGATGGTGAAATGTTTGAAGTTTTCCCTTCCAAATCATGAAGGCAAACATGGCCGTCGGGGTCATGTTTGGCATTTTACTGGTGGTCCTGGGCTGCACAGAAGGACAAGAAGTTTTCGTTTTCATATTTTATGACTGTCTTACAGAAACTCAACCAAATCTATGGCTTTAGAGAATAAATAATTCAGTGGGTTGATTACTATCAGATTAGTATGCAAAATAAATTGTATAAACCTTCTCTATCAGTAACAGATAAAAAAATGTAATTTAAAAATATTTACAGTAGCAACAGAAAATATGATGTACTAAGGAAGAAATCTAATAAAAGATGTGACTGACCAACCTGTTAAAAGATCATAAAGCTTTACTGAAATACATTTAAAGACATCAAAAAATGGACACATACCATTTTTAAGAACATGAAATATCATAAGAAAATCTATTTTTCTCAACTCCCAAATGAATCTCTCAACTCTGTCAGCCCAATAGAAAAAAACAAAGCAAAACAGGCATTTTCCTAGAAACTGAAGAAACAATTTCTATGAACCTAAAGGAACAAGAAAAGACAGTGATTTTGATGGATGAGAAGAGTAGCACGGACTGATGCACAAATTAGCAAGGTTTTTTAAAAACCATAATAAGCCACGTGCCACTGACAAGGAGACACAAACACAGAAATGGGGTTGACCGGAGAACCCAGGACTAGGCCACACAGGACAAGCAGTGACATTGCAGTCAGTTGGGGGAGAGGATGGACTAATTAGTAAATATCAGCTGTTCAAATGGGGGGAAACAGATTTCTGACTTACAAGCCAAGAGCAACAGCAACAAAAAGAAACCCAAAGAAAACATGAGTGCGTTAAAGACCTGCATGTGAAGTACTTCTGAAAGAAAATGTCTTCTTCTGAGTAAGGAAGGATTTTCTCAATAACACACAAAAACACAGACTGCAAAGTAATAGGTAAAAGTTTTTATGTTAAAAAAAAAATAAGATCCTTTAAAAGATACCATCATATCGTCCTATTTTTTCAAAAACTTCTAATAATTTAGAGATACATACTTAAATACAGAGGAATAAAATAATGCTTGGGATTTGCTTTGGAAAACGGGGGGGTGGGTAAGGAAATGAGTAGGGTAATTGCTGATATAAGTTTAACTCTGAGTTGGTAATTGTTAAAGCTGGGTTTAGGATTTATCATCATATAGGAACTCATTCATCAGATTATCATGAAAAAGGTAAAAAGGACACTGTGGCTGGTGTGGCTCAGTGGATTGAGTGCCAGTCCATGAACCAAAAGGTTGCTGGTTCAATTTCTGATCAGGGCATGTGCCTGGGTTGTGGGCCAGGTCTCTGGTCCGGGGGCATGAGAGGCAACCAATCATATTTCTTGCACATCAATGTTTCCCTCTCTCTTTTTCTCCCTCCCTTACCCTCTCCGTACAAAAAAAAATTTTTAATTAATTTTTTAAAAAGTAAGGAAAATACGAACATTATGATAATAGGATACCAGTTTTCACCCACCAGATTGTCAAACATTTTAAAATCTGATAATTCTAGTGTTAGCAAGAACATCAAACCGTGGGAACTCATACACGAATTGTAGGAACATAAATTGCCATGACTAATTTAGAAGAAAATCTGGTATCTTTTACCAAAACTAAACATGTGTCTTCTTTACTACCCAGCTGTTCCCCATCCAGGCTAAATCCTCGAAAATCATGCTCATGGAGACATGTACAAAAATGTTCACTTTTTTTTTTTCAAAAAAGCCCCTTCTTTTTAATAGCAAGAACACTAGGAACACCAAACGTCCATCTGCGACAGAGCCCGTGGTTCGACAGTGGTGCATGTGCGCGGCGGACTGCGAGTGAACTGGCTGCAGTCACGTGCCTTCGCGTGGTTCAGTCTTACCCATGCGACAAACAAAGGGACAGCAGAGCACATCACAACGCTGTTTATGTACAGATTCAAACCATATAAAAGGAGCATGTTGTCCGGGAAGCATATGTGTGTAATAAATTTCTAGACAACGGTGAGAGATGTAGAGTAGTGGTTATTTCTGGTGAGAGGAAGAGGAAGATAATTAAGGGCACAAAGGGAGCACCCCAGGATTGTCATGTTTTGCTTCCCAAGCTGGGTGGAAGGCACATGAATGTACATTGTAGTATGCTTTAGTCCCTTTGTATGTAATAAAATAATTCATACTTAAAAATACAACTTTTTTCAAAATATATACAAATATCGAATCCTATACCTGAAACTAGTATCATGTCACATGCCCACTGCATCTCCGTTACAAAAATATATATATGTATAAATATTTTTCAGTGTAAGGAGCGGGGAGTGAGAGAAGCACAGAGGTACACATTGGTGGAACAAAAATTCGTTTCAGTTCAACAACCAACTTTCACCGAGAACAGATGAACGAAACCTTGCCTGTCGTTCAAGGCGCAGTCACCTGCCAGAAGAATGCTGGCTCTTGCAGTGCAGCAGCGAAGAAGACACAGTAAAGCACAGGCTCCAGCCAGATCCCCGTGAGGCCCCCGTATGTCAAAGCATCGGTGGGTGGGCTTTTGATCCAAGGTAAAAGGTCTGAGCTTTCCTTCTCCTCACCCCACCTACTCCCAGTCTTCTCCTGTCTGTTCAGGAAGGTTTCCAGGTTGAGTCTTTAACATGCGTGCAGTAAAAATAAATACGGTACAATGTTGAGTGTTATTTTTCATGTAGCTTTCTGAAGTGAATGAAGGGAAGGAGAATGGCAGCAGAGTATGAAAGACTTGATACCTTTGGCTTTCTCCTGGCATCTGTTCCAGGGCTTTCTTCAGGCAATCAGGCAACCAGAAAAACCGTCCATGCTGAAACATGTACTCTAGGCTTCTGGCTGATGCATCAGGTGAGTCACCTGTTCAGGAGGGATGCATCTCTACACCTGTGCCTGATTCCAGGGGAAGAAGCCCTGGGGATGCGTCAGACTCACATCCAATAAGGAGGCAAAACATTGGTGGTCATCCTGTTATCAGCACCTCCTCCTACCACCTCCAGTTTCTGGCTGTGCCAGGGCCTTCCTGGGGAGTCCCCAGCTTCCTCATGACCTTTCTGGGGGAATCCCCAGCTTCCTCAGGGCCTTCCTGGGGAGTCCCCAGCAATAATGGAAGCCTGCTAGGCAATCTGATCCCAGATCACGTGGAAAGTGCTGCCAGCTCCAGCTCCTCAGGCCCTGTCACACCTGCTGGATCCAAGGCCATGGGCTCTCTAACTTGATTTCCAGCTTTGCGCCAGCCTTCTGGGTCTCGCCGTGACATAAGAAGTGTCACCTGAGCGTCTGCAGATCTGAAAGAGACCAAACAGAATCACAGGGCCTGCCATGCTCCTCAAACCCGGCATCTGCTTCCCTCAACAGGTCTCCGCCTCTTCTAACCTTTTACGGATTTTCTTTCCCAGCCCACTGTCATATAACGCCCTCCCCTGGGCACTCGATTGGAGGCCATTCTTCCCTACTAGTTTGCACCGTTTTGCCTAACTACACCAGTGTTCCCCCTGGCATCTTCCCAGCTCTTGGAGGACATCTCCAACCTGGCCTCCGTGAGGGAAATCATACTATGAATATACTAAAAATGCTAATAATGGCTAAGCTTATGGAGGACTTGTTGTGTGCCTTGCTACCAGTGCTTTCCTGCCAGGCCCTGCTCCCAAGGCCAACTTAGCACATACCCATATAGAGGTGCACGGTACCATTCTCATTTTCCCAATGAGAAAAACCAGGCACAGAAGCATTAAGTCACTGCCCAAAAAACAATGCTTTCGGAGCCTGCATTTTGAACTACGGGGCGACAGGGGCTGTCTCCTGAGCGCCCAAGCAGATCAGATGCTGACCCCTTCCTGGTCCCCTCCACGCAGAGCTTACAGCGCAGGATGGCCTCCTTGACTTGGCGGAAGCCTCGTTCTGGGCCCCGGCCGTCCACAAAGTACATGAAGCGCAGCTCGGGCGGGTAGGCGTCCCTGGCCAGGCCTGTGAGCAGGGGGATGGTGCGGCCCTCGGCCCCCGGGGCCTGGCTCAGGGCCTGCAGCATCTGGTACCTGCACCACGGGTCACGCTGGAAGCCAGGAGTGATGAGCAGCACCTGGCAGTGGCTGCTGTCCAGCGCCCGGCACAGCTCAGACACAATGGCGCTGCCTGGGGCCGCATCACGCAGCTGCAGGAAGCAGCGCAGGCTGGCGGAGCAGTCCTCCAGGTAGGCCACCAACTCCTGTGCGGCCGCCAGGTCCTCCTCGCTGTGGCATACGCACACGTCGTAGTCCCTGCTCCAGCGGCCACCACTGCTGCTGCTGGTGGCACCCTCCTGTGCAGGTGGCAGGGCGGGAGACTCCGCCAATGCCGCTGAGCTGAGGCCCGACGATGGGGGGTGGTCCTGGGGGCACCGTGGTGGGGGGTCATCCTGCGAGCACGGTGGCAGGGCATTGTCCCGTGAGCACCCTGGCAGAGCGTCACTCGGGAGGCTTTTCTGGGACGCAGGCATCTTGTTGGGCTTCTTGGACAGGGCCTGCCTGAGCCAGCCTGCGAGAGAAACTCTGCTCGGGGCTGATTCTCCCCAGGCCTCCTCCTCCCTGCCGCAGAGAGGAGCCCGGCCCAGGAATCCAGCCCATCTTCCTGCACTGGCCAATACCGCCTGACTTACAGACCTCCGGCCCAGCTATTGGGCACGTCCTCAGGACTTGTCCAAAGTCCCCACTACCTTAAAGTTTTCCTGAAGACAGAAGAATGCTGACTGCTTTGTGAGTCCTGAGATGTAGGGTACAGCAAGTGGATGTAGTTAATAATACTGTAAGTGTTCTACACAGGACAGATATTCTGCATGCTAACAGATGTCAACTAGACATCTGTTATTTGTGCCGGTCATTTTGCAATATACATAGTGAAGCATGCTGTAAACCTGAAACTAATATAATGTTTCATGTCAATCACATTTCAATTTAAAAATACACCTTGGTATAACAATATGAAGAAGGGGGAGAAGAGAAGGGCGAAGGGGAGGGGGAGCAGGAACAGCAACAGGACTCTGCTTCCACTCACCAGCCATCTTGCCCAAAGGTTTCTTGGACCTGGAGCCAGAAGCTGGGAAGGAGGTGGGCGATGCCATAGTGTTAGGCTGAAAACTAACCCCCGGAGACCAGGCATTGGTGACATGGGAGAAGGGAGGGGACCCAGTCTTGAACCCACGGAACAGCCATCCTACAAGAGACAGAGAGAGGGTCATGAAAGCTGTGCTTACTTTACTCTTGGACCCAGGGGTGGGCTCCGATGTTCTTTCTTTCCATTGCCTGATGGAGGCTCAGCCTCTAGGGGGCCCCTCAACCCTCCTGGGAGAGATACCGCTGTGATTGGGGCAGGTTCTAGGTAAACCGGAGCCTGAGTGGTATGGCCAGACGTACAGCATATGAGCTCAGCATGACCAGGAGGGCGCCTGCTCTCTGCTCCACCGGGCCTGGCGTGCATTCGGGATCCGGGGAAGGGCCACTGGCTCTTCACAGGGGCCTCCTGTTAAAGCTGAAATGGGAGGGCAGTTGCTATTTGGACAAATTATTTTGTATCCAGACAGACAGACACGGGGCAGAAAAGAGAGAACACATGGAAAAAATCTTGGGAAACTTTTCCTCTAAGTTGGCCTTACCCTGTGTAGTTTGCTTCCTCACTCCCCGTCCCCGCCCATCTCTCCATGCCCCCATCTCTTCCTCCCTCAGCTGTCAGCTCAGGGAGGCGGTGCCACATAATGACAAAGACTGCAGCCTGTGCAGGCCACAGCCTGGGTTCTCACCTTTCATTAACTGTGGCCTTTAGCCCTTATATGAGTACTTACATAAAGTACTAATGGTGCACAGCATATAATGCTCAGAAAATAGTGTGGGTTAGTATGTATTATAAAATCATCTAGAACCCTGACCAGTGTGGCTCAGTGGGTTGGGCGCCACCCCACAACGAGAAAGGTCACTGGTGTTCACCTTCCCTGTCAGGGCACATGCCTGGGTCACGCCTTTGGCCCCTTGTTAGGCCATGTGCAAGAAGCAACTGATCAATGTTTCTCTCCCTTTCTCCTTCCCTTCCCCTGTACCTAAAAATAAACAAACTTTTTTTTTAAAAACTTTAAAAATCATCTAGATACTGGAGGGGTATATTATGTGCATGGTTTAGAAGACTCAATATTGTTATCAGTTCTCCCCAAACTCCTCTTTAGATTGGTGCTGCCCCACATTCCACGAGGGTTTTGGTTTTGGGAGGAAGGAATGGTCACACTACCTCTAAATATGCACGGCAATGCACAGGACCAAGAATACCTTGGATGCGGGACCTGCCACGTTGTCTTCCCACCACAGTGAGCAGGATGTCCCTGACCGCAGCGGCTTTTTCAGCCTAGGTTTCTGGGAGGACGCCCCGTGGAGCAGAGCCTGGCCTGGTCTGAGACAGGGCCGGAGGTGAAGGGCCGGAGGTGAAGGGCTGGTGAAGAACAGCTTCCTCGTTCTTTGCCGAATCTGCAAAGGTCAAAACCAGCCCCCTGGGAATTAGCATAGAAGCAACTCATACCATCAGACACAGCGAAATAAGGGGATTCAAAATGCAAAGAATGTCACTTTGTGTCGGACAGCAATGCTGTGTTCATTACTTAGCTGGTGAATGTGAGATGAGAGGTACTGTTCACTCATGAAAATACATCGAAGTTGAAGAAGCAAGGACTTGAACTGCAGCAGCAAGAAGGGCAGAGAGAGGAGATGGAATGGGAACAGGAGTCAGACATACACTTGAAAGAGGAAAGCAGTGACGCTGCTAAGCCAGCCGGGACTTGAACAGACAAACACTAGCATACGGATATGCTTCTCCCCCCACTTGTCTCAGGGGTTCAGGCAGCCTCCGTGCTGTGAAGCCAGGCAACGCCTGGTAACCTCCGCCAGGTTTTGAAATCCTTTCCCTGCTCCGGGGTTACTGGCTGCCAACATCTTCCTTTGAACCGTTAGAAATATGGCTTTCCACCCCCAAGCAGTAAACACACTCTCACTTGGCTTTTGTAGTACTCAGAGATTTTTCCATTTTGTCTTATAAAATTTGTTATTTGTCCTTGCTACACTTACAAACTGGAGAACCTTTTGATATTTTAATGATAGCCTAAAGATCAAAAATTAACATAATGCTTGAATCTACTCAACAGATGGAGATTTAAAAGTTTCAGTTTCTCATTTTATACAATGACCTGCCCTTCTGGCAATGCATGCTGATTTGGGGGTAATGGCCTTTTTTCATTGATTGGCTAAGAAAAACTCCAGTTGCCCAACAGCAGATGCCACTGGAAGCGGGTTGGTATAAGCTCTTGTGATGAATGGGGGAAGGTTTAAACACAGGAAATGACGCCATCTTTGCAGAGGATAGCTGAGCAAGAGACGACAAATTAGCCACAGAGACTGTCTATTTCCTGGAGGCTGAAACCCTGGCACGCCTTCCCTGTCACTTTTCAGTTCTTGTGCAGCTGAGGCTGTGGAACTGTTCCACTCAAATATGCTGTAATCTTCAAAAGATTTAGTAATAGTCATATATTGAGATTTTGGAGACATAGTGGCCAAGCAGATAGGAAGCTGTTTTTTGCACTCAACGTAAAAGGACCTAAATATATAAGGCAAATCTTGATAGACCTAAAGGGAGAGATCGACAGTAATACAGTCATAGTAGGGGATTCTAATACCCCACCGACATCAGTGAATAGATCTTTCAGACAGAAAATCAAGAAGGAAACAGCAGCCTGAAAGGACACATTACACTGATAAATTTAATTGATATTTCCTGAACATTTCACCCCAGAACAAAGTGCACCCAGAACATTTTCCAGGAGAGATCACTTAGTGCACAAAACAAGTCTCAATAAATTTTGTAGAAAGACTGAAATCATATGAAGCATCTTTCCCAACCAGAATAGTATGAAACTGCAAATCAATTACAAGGGAAAAAACTGAAAAGCGCAAACACATTGAGGCTAAATAACATGTTACAAAGCAATGAACAGGCTGACCTTGAGATAAAGGCAGAAATCAAAAGATACCTTGAGACAAATGAAAATGATAGCACCATAATCCTAAGTCTATGAGACACCGCAAAAGCAGTCGTAAGAGGAAACTTCATAGGAATGCAGGCCCACTTCAAGAAATAAGAAAAACCTCAAATAAACAATCAAACCTTACACCTAAAGGAACTAAAAAAACCCAAACAAACATAGTTCAAAGCCAGTAAATGGAAGGAAATAATAAAAGTCAGAGTGGAAATAAGTAAGATAAAGTCTAAATTTAAAAATATAAAAGATCAATGTAACAAAAAAAAAAAAAAAGCAAAAGATCAATGAAACCAAGAGCTGTGTTTTTAAAGATAAACAAGATTGATAAACCTTTAACCTGACTTGAGAGAAAGAAACTCAAATAAAATCAGAAAGGAAACAGGCAAAGTAACAACAGATACCACAGAAATATAAAGGATTATATTACATGCCAACAACTGGACAATCGGGAAGAAATGGATAAATTCTTAGAAATGCACAATCTTTGAAGACTGAATCAAGAAGAAACAGAAAATCTGCATAGACCAATTTCATCCAAAAAAGCAGCAGTATTCAAAAAACTTGCAACAAACAAAAGTCCTGGACTGGACGGCTTTATGGGCGAATTTTACCAAACATTCAAAGAAGAATGAACGCCTACCCCTCTCAAACTATTCCAAAAAATTCAAGAAGAGGGAAGATCCCCAAACTCCTTTATGAAGCCAGCATTATCCTGATTCTAAAACCAAATAAAAACACTACAAAGAAAGAAAATTATCAGCTAATATCCCTGATAAACACAGATGCAAAAATCCTCAACAAAATATTAGCAAATCGAATCCAGGAATACATTAAAAAGATCACATACCATGATCAAATGGGATTTATTCCTGGGATTCAAGGATTGTTCAATATCTGCAAATAATTAACCACATAAACAAAATGATGGATAAAAATCATACAATCCTATCAATACATGCAGGAAAAGCATTTGACAAAATCTAGCACCCATTTATAATTAAAAACCCTCAGGGACTAGAGGGAACTTACCTAAATATAATAAAGGCTATATATGACCAACCCACAGCTAGCATCATACTCAATGGGGGAAAACTAAAAGCATTTCCCTTAAAATCAAGAAGTAGACAGGGATGTCCACTTTCACTACTTTTATTCAACACAGTACCACAAGTCCTAGCCACAACAGACAAGAAGAAGAAATAAAACACAAACAAGGGCCCTGGCCAAGTAGCTCAGGTGGTTAGAGCATCATCCAGTTATGCCAAAGTTGCAGGTTTGATCCCCGGTCAGGGCACATATAAAAGTCAACCAATGAATGCATGGATAGGTGTAATAGCAAATCAGTTTCTCTCTCTCTCTCTCTCTCCCTCTCTCTCTCTCCCTCTCTCTCTCTCTCCTTCCCTCCCTCCCCCCATCCTCCCATTCTTCTCTCTCACTCTTCCTGACCCTCTTTTCTCTCTCTCTCTCAACCTAATAAATATAAAAATAAAAAATCAATTAAAAAAGAAATAAAATACATCCAAATTGGAAAGAAAGAAAGAAGTAAAACTCCTTATTTGCAGATGCCATGAAAATATAGAGAGAACCTAAAGATTCCACAAAAAAACCTACTAGAACTGATAAATGAATTCAGTAGAGTAACAGGGTACAAAATATTCAAAAATCGGTTGCATTTTATACACCAATAATGAACTATCAGAAAGAGAAACAAAGAAAACAATCCCATTTACAATTGCATCAAAAAATAAATTAAAATACCTGGGAACAGATCTAACCAAGGTGGTATAAGACCTGCACTTGAAACATTGTAAGACGAGGAAGAAACTGAAGATACAAATAAATGGAAGCATACACCACACTCGTGGATAGGAATAAAATTAACATCATTAAAATGTCCACACTACCCAAAGCAATCTATAGATTTAACATAATTCCTATCAAAATAGCATACAAAAAATTAAGTTCAAGTGGAGAGTAATTATACATGAAAATAACAATAAAGCTCTTAGAGGAGAGTACAGGAGATTATCTTTCTGACTTTGATTGTCTTCCTGATTTTTTCTTCCTTTTTTAAAAAAAATCTTCCTGATTTTCAAAAAATTGAGGTATAACAGACATATGACATTATGTTAATTTCAGGTGTACAACAATGATTCAATATACAGGTAGATTTACAGTTGTTCATATGGAAGGTAACACAATAACTAATAAAAATACAAGAACAAACTCCGTGTTTGTTTGTACTCACAACTGTAAACCTACTTCTGCCCCACCCTGTACGTATACACACGCTGTGAAATGACCATCCCGGTAAGTCTGCTTACTACGCCGTACATGGTTACAATACTGTTTTCTAGTGATGAGACCTTTTAAGATCTAGTCTCTTAGCAACGTTCAAGTATACAGTACAGTATTGACCATGGTCACCATGGTGTACATTGAATCCTCATGACTTGTTTATTTTAAAACCAAAAGTTGGTCTCTTTTGACCCCCTTCACCTATTTCAAGTTCCCTCAAAGATTGTTTTTTCAAACTGGACTTAATACCCCCAATAAACTGGACAACATTAAAATGGAAAACTTCTGTTCATCAAAAGATGTCATTAGGACAGTGAAAAGGCAATCTTCTGAGAGAAAAAAGATATCGTAAAATTACATATCCAATCAATATTTCATATTCCGAATATTTAAGAACTCTTACAAACTGGCAAGAGAAAGAGGGAAAATCTATTAGAAAGTGCATGGAAGAGCTGAACAGACACATCACCAAAAAGAGAACACCCAAATGGCTAATAGACAGGAAAAATAAGCACAGGTCATTAGTCACCAGTAACCACAAATTAAACCCTCATTGCAACACCACCGCCCACACCCCGAGCGGCGCGGCTGCTGTGAATGAGATAGGATCAAATATGGGTGAGGGTGAGGAGGAACGGGAACTCACACACAGCAGGTAGAAACGTGAATCGGTACAACCGGTTTTGAAAGCTGACCACGGACACACCCAGCAATTTCCCTCAAGGAACAAACTCCAGAAGTGCTTACATGGGCTCACTGAAAGGCAAACACAAGAATGCCTTCGCAGCACTACGGAAAACAAAAGCAATCCCAAGCTGGAAACAGCCCGACCCTGCCCCAGCGTCCAGCAGAAATGAACCGCGGCCTGTCTGTACAGTGCGACATCGCACGCCAGAGCGAACGAAGGAATTCCTGCCACGTACAATATGGGTGAATCTCACATGTCCAGTATAAAACGCCACACGCAAAAAGTGCACACGGTACGATTCCATGCATCAAAAGTTCAAAACCAAGTAAAACTACTTGATGAGGCTGGACGCCAAGAGAGTAGCTCTGCTGGGGTGGAAGCCGCGCCTGGAGAAGCTCGGTGCAGAAGGGCTTCTGCAGAGCTGGCGGTGTTCTATAAACTCTGGGTGCAGGGGGCACAGGCCAGAAAGGTTCACTGTGCGAAATCTGCGTAGGAGGTACATTTATAATGTATGCCATGAAAAAAAGTTTAAAAACCAACTAGATATGACTTCCGGTGACAGTCAGTCATCACTGACCCTGGGTCCCCCCAGGGCAGCTGCAGAACTTCCCCTCTCCAAGCTGCACTGGCCAGGCGGGGCTATGATTTCTCACCCACCCGTCTGTCTCCAGGAGGGAGGTCAATCTGTCCTGTTCCGTGGTGGCACTCCTGCGCTCTTTACGGTGCCCAGCCCTCGGTAGATGTTGGTGAAATGACTGTGGAAGGAATGCCTGCAGGTCATTGCCCTGAGGAAAGCCCTGTTCCCGCAGGAACTCGGTCATGAGACCATCAGAAGCGCAATGGGAAAAGCGGTGAGCACTGCAGGGGAGGCTGCGGGAGAAACCCTACCAAGCCCTGCCCTCCGGTTCAAGGAAGGCTCCCGAACCAGCTTCTTGGCGACAGGATGGTGACAGCTTTCTCGGAGACCCTTCTTCTATCTTGCTTCTGCGCTCTGGGTGCCGGGGGCAGCAGGTCAAGGGGCAGAAGGGAGGCGGCGGATGGCAAGTGTGTCCGGGGCTGGGCCAAGTGCGGGGCGCAGCTCCAGCCTGCCCCAAGGCTGCCCACACTCCGTTCCTGGACCCCAGCACACACCCCCCCACCGCCGCTCCCCCCACCTCTTCCATGCGCTCACCTGCGGGGGAACCAAGTTGTGGTGGAGCTTGCGGACTCAGGCGCGGGGCTGGCCGCCCCAGCGGAGAGGAAGTGAGGCGTGGGCCAGGGAGCGGCCCCCTCCCCGGAAGCGCCTGGCCTGTGCCCCGCCTCCTCTTGCACCCGCCCAGTGGCGCCAGGAGGTGCAGGCGGGGTCAGCCCCAACCAGGCCAGCCTGGCCTCTGCGCCTGCGGAGACGGGCCTTGCCCGCTGCTGGGCTCACGGGCACCGATGGAGTTACCAGTTGGGCAGAAAGTTGCAGATGAGCCCTTGCGCCCACAGGAACCCCCACAGCCTAAGGGAGGAGGATCCCTCTGCTCTCCCAGCTCTTCGCCTGGGCCCCCCAGTCCCCTCCGCCCACAGGGCCCTCCCTTTTCTCAGATCTGCCTTCAGCAACCCCACTGCTGAAAGTCATCTTTGTATCTTATGCAGGTAAATCCTTCTTAACCTTCTCTTCCCTCCTTTTTCCTCAAATTCCCGCAGCACCAGGTGTTACTGGGAGCTTGTGCTGGCGCGGCTTAGCCCTTGCCTTAGACTGAAGATTCCCTGAGGCCAGGGACCCATCTTCCGGCTCCAGACGGAGCAGAGAGGGCTCCGAGCAGGTGTGTGTGTGGGGGGGGGGTCTGAGTCCCTGTCCCTTGCAGTTTCACAGTGACACAAGCAGTGGTGAGTACATACTCTCCTAGTTTCCTGAAAAAGGCCCTGAGGGAGGACAGAGGATTCACCAATGCCTTACGGAGTTCATTTGTCTTGAAGGAAGTAGCTTCTGGGTGCAGAGCTAGTTGAAGGCCTTTTTCTCTACCCATAAATAGGGGTGTCAGCACTGAAGGGTGATGCTGGGCGGCTAAGGAGGCCAGTCCACAAGGTTAAGGGTGACCCACAAGGTTAAGGGTGACCACAAGGTGAAGGGTGCCCCAACCCTTATACTTCTGGCAAGTTCCTTCCTGTTTTTCCACGCCAAATTCTGGTGGCTCCTCCTTTCCTGCTTCTTTAACCCCTCACTCTCCAGGGGCTTCTCATGCATGTTCCCTTACTGGCCTCACATCCACACACACTGCTGCCCCCATCCCCTGCCCCAGGTGACCATCAATTAGGCCCACCTCCATCTTTTGCTTCAATCTTCTCCCCAAAGGCACTTTGGGTTTGGGGGCCCTTCACTAGCTGCGTCTACGCCCATTCACCTCTCCCTTCTGAACAGCGGCCCACCCCTCAGACCCCACCGAGGTGCACTTCCTCCCGGACCGGCTCTCCCTGAGGTTCCCTGGACTATCTGAGCGGCTTCCAGCCCCCCCTGTGCATTTGCACCCTAAACCATCCCTCCTTGGCCAGTCCCCTCACTCGCCTGGCTTTTCTGTGCCTGACCACCTCGTTAGCAGCCTCTGGCTCCTCCGTTAAAGGTGATGGAGCCCCTCCAGCTTCACCCCTCCGTCCTCTACCCTTCCTCAGTGACAGTGTCCTCTCCCATGGTGTCCACATCTCTGCCTCAGCCCAGACCACCCTGAGGCCATAACAATAAATTCAACCCTATCAGACGGCTCTGCAGCTGTCCTGCAGGCACTCAGCTCCACTGCCCCGAACAGAACCATTCTGTCCCTCACAACTCTGTCCTCATCTCTGTGGAAGCAGGACATCCATCTAGCTGTTCAACACAGACGAGAGCCTTACCTGACCCAGTTTCCTGGGGCCACTGTAGCCTCTCGGACCGGCACACTCCTTACCAGGACCTCGCAGGCCTGTCCTTGCTGTGCAGGCTACAGTGGCAGCCCTCCGTCCGGCGGCCTACTCGGGCCTCACAGCCTGTTGTCCACGGGGCAGGCTGGGTGCTTTTTCTTAAGGGAAACCTGATCACGTCGCTTCCCTATTGAAAACCCATCAGCGGCCCCTGCCCACAGGAAGAAATCCAAGCCCACAACACGGTTCTTCAGCCCCTGGCCCTGAAGTACCTCTTCTTTCCCGCCACGACCTGCTAGGACAAATCATGATCTCACCAGTCCCTTGAACTTTGCTAATTCTTGGTCCCTGGCCTTTGCATGTGGTTTTCTGTCCCTGAGCCTGGAATCACTCCCCTCCTCACTTCCTCCTGAACTCCCTTTGTTAAGCTGCTTATCCTTTAGGTTTGCCTGCTGGTGCATTTCTAATATGCAGCCCTGGGCCTGACCAAAAGCTGGAGCTGATGATACTGCAGAGGAATGAACACGTTCCTCCCCTGTACAACCACACCCCTGCCCAGAGTGGGGAAAAGGAGGCCTTAACTTGCAAACAAGGATTTAAGATCACCCCTGGGAGGGGGAGGAGGAGGCTATGCTCCTCCCAGGCTGGTGGGCACTTCAGAGGGAACTGCCGTGGGGAGAAGAGAGGAAGGAGCAGGAAACTGGCAGGATGGAACTAATCGCATTTATTGACTGGTAACAAATCCGGGCCAGGCTGCACAGGAATACTCCCTGCCTGGGCTCTTCGAGGAGGAGCAGAGGTGATTTTTCTAGGTTGGCACCAGGAAGGAGCCAAATCTGGGCCACGGAGCTCGGGGCCACCGAGGTGCTCTGTCCTGATGGATTGCCTTGGTGGGTAGCATTGGCCTGGGCCAGCGATCAGTCCTGGGGTCCTGCCCCATTGCCCTCCGTCAGCCTGGACCTCAGGTTGCGGCAGGGACCCCAGTGCAGGACCTCAGAGCCTGCAGACTGTCCACCTGCCCAGCCACATGTGACAGAATCACCTGGGCGCCAGCAGGAGGGTGCAGGAGACCTTACCCTCCCTCCCGAGATGGGGCTGGGGAGGACACCATGACGGTGGCCAGGATCTGAGCCAGGGGATGACACGGGACAGGAGGCCAATGAAGAGCTTACAGGCTCAGAAGATGTTGTGCTCTTGGACCTTCTCTCCCAAGAAGAAGCGGCTGAAGAGGAAGGGGCTCAGGTTGATGGTCTGGAAGCGGCCCTCTAGCACCATCTCAGCCACTGCCCGCCCCACAGCGGGCGCCTGCTGGAGCCCGTGGCCACTGAAGCCCGTGGCAAAGTACATGTTGGCGACCAGTGGGTGGGGGCCCACCACGCCATTCTGGTCAAAGGTGTTGTAGTCGTAGTAGCCAGCCCAAGCGCTCCGGACCTGCGGGGGCACAGGATGTTGGGGTTCTCGAGAAGGCTGCCAGTACTCCCAGCCCTCTCTCCTGGTCAGGCATCAGCACCCTCTACCACTGCTGGGTGGGGGTGGGGGGGGTCGATGGGATGGACCCTTAGACCACGGAGTCCTTAGCAGTTGTGAGGAAGGCGCACAGAGGCTGAGGACAGGCTTTCCAAGGAGACCGAGGGGCTCCAGTGTCATCTGTCTCCTTCCTTCTAGTTACCTTCAGACTCTCAAAAGCTGGTATCCTCCAGGCCAAACGGGGCCACACCTTGTTCTGGAAGAAATCATGGTCCACTTCCAGGTTCTCGGGGTCTGGTTCCTCCTCCTGGGGTGAGAGGTGGGGACAAGGCTTACATTGGTGCCTCCTCCTGGGGCACGAGGACACAGCCAGGTCTCACAGACCCCTTTAAACAGCCCCTCTGGAAGGTGGGGGACGGGGACAACAGCCCGGTCCAAACCCGGAGGGGCTGCACCACTAACAGCGGCACCGGCCCCCCCCCCCAAAGGCCAGCCTCAGCAACGACTGTCGCTCTGTCCCCTCCCCAGCGCCCATGACCCCACTTCGCTCACCTCAGTGGGGCTACAGCCACCCAGGTAGTTGTTGCCTAATCCGTCCCGGCGGAAGTAGGCTCCACTGGTGTCTGCAACAAGGGGAGACTCCAGGCCTGGCCCCTGGGGGCAGTGCCACACGTACACATACCTGCGACAACCCTGGGGTTAGGGCGTGGGGGGACAGCAACTCTTCCCTCCTCCAACTCAACAACCTCCTCAGCCGTCCTGGGGCAAGTCACCTTTTCCTCGGCTCCACAGGCAGCCTCGTGCCCTGCAGGGTGCCAGGAGGCCCCTTCCCAATACCAGCCAGCTCTGCTACCCGCCCAGACCAGGCCCCGGCCGCGTTGATCACTATGGCGCACTCCACAGGCTGGTACTCCACACTGTGGTCCATCTTCACCTGCAGGCACCAGAGGGGGAGGGAGGGAGGGTCTGGCCCGTACACTGGCCACCGAGAAAGGCAGGTTTCTTCCTGGGCCTTAGTTTACCCACACTGGCAGTGGGTAGAAGATCAAATGACAGTCATTAACTTTCTCATCCCTCCACTTTGGTAAGGAAGATACTTAGGCTGGAGACTTACATGAACTTCATGGATCCTTTTCAAGGTCATCTCTTCCCCACTTGTGGTCTCCATGCGGTTAGAGGAGGAGACAAAACCTGCAGGAAAAGGAAAATTAAACAGGCCCTTGAGGACCTGAAGAGGAAGGAGATGGGAATTCCATTGGTCTCCAAAGGAAAGGAGGCTGGGAGGCCGGGAGCTTCCCACAGACACTGAGGCAAACAGCATTACTGGCTCGCACTTGGCCCCACTCAGGACTGAGAGCCCTGAAATCTCCAAGAGGGTCATGAATCAGGAGGAGGCCGAGCCAGGGGCTGGGGTCGGGATGCCCAGAACCAATCCGCAGGGGAGAAGCCGTCTCCCCACCAACCCTTGCTTGGCCTGTGAGTGAAGATAAGACAGTCAAGGCTGCGCCCTGCATGGCCAAGGGTATAAGTAGTGGGCGTGGGGCCTCGGACTCACGTGTCACCTCTCCATGGCAGAAATGGACCCCCATGGCCTGCACCTTTCGCCGGAGTCCCTGGAGCAGACACCAAGGGTCAAACCAACCTTCACCCTCCAACCCTGTGGGGAACAAAAGAGGACTCCTGAAGAGGGACTGGAGCCTCCTCTCCTATTGTACTTCCCGCACCCCCAGCTCTTTCTGGGCCCGCAGGCTGGGGAAGGTGAAGTTGACCAAGTGCACCGAGTCAAATCTGGCAGAGCGGAAAGCTGGCACCGCCCAGGGAGGCCCTGCTGGCCAGGAGGGGAGCGTCGGCCCTTCACTTGGCTGCAGGGTGCTGAGACTTCGCACCTGGGGTACCCGCACCCCCCAGCCCCCATGCAAGCAGGCCTCACCGTAAGACGCCAA